CCTAATTTTGGGAAACCCAAGAACTTCGGGCGGGAGGGCTCGCTCAGGAGTGAACAATTTGCACGAGGCGATAGGCTCCATGAGTAAGCAAGCTGCAACTAAGACCGCTTGTAACGAAAGCGCGGACAAAAGGAAACGCGCTTCTACTCTTTCATAGTCCATGCTGCCTCGTGCTTGAGAAGAAATGCCCATGTGCTCATGTGCTGACTGAATTTGGTATGACTGAAGTAGACTACTGGCCGTTGGAAGCATTGGTGGAGGATTGAAGTGTGACTGTGAGGAACAAGGCGGCAAATTCTTAAACCGTGGTCATCGCTTTAGCGCCTTGTGCGATTTTGTTCATCGCCATACGCTTGTGGCTTGAAGCACGCAACTCTGACGATAAGGTCAGCGCTAAAGTCAGGATTCCATACGCTGCGCCGTCAGAGCGGCCCAGCTGAGGATCTAGCGTCAACGTGTCAGAAGCCAAAGCTGAAAGCCCAGACCCTGAAACGCGCTTGCAAATCTCGTGCAGGATTCCGAAGCTCCATGGAAAACCCACGGCCCTACATCCTTAAACCCAACCCCTAAACGCTAAACCCTGAACCCCTAAACCCTTAAACCCCAAAACCCAACCCCTAAACCTCAGACTGCAATCCCTTTCCCAAGGGCCTCCGGATCACAGGGCCGCAAATCCGGATACCACTGGAATGCCTCGGCTCCTATGGCATGCCCCAATTAGGATCTAGGGTTTCTAGTTCTTACTAAGGAATAAAGGAATACATTATATCTTACTGGTTCTTAGTACGGAACTAGGGCGTAAGGGAACATTTTATACCTTGCTGGTTCTTAGACCAGAATAAGGGACTGTAGCATATAGAGATTATATAGGGATTATCTTCCGTCTTTCCCGACTAAGAACAAGTAAGTTATAGATTGTAGATAGAGAGACTCTAATGGGGACCCCCTTTGAGGCATGGACTGGGTAGGCTGCCGGCACAACTGAAAGTTCAACCAGCCACCAGGTGCTAGTGAGGATCCCAAACAACCAACCTCAAGCCTAAACTGCCTAAACCCTAAACCCTAAACCCAGGAATATGATAGGAACATAAGGGCCTTAGTAGGTATATTCCCGTCATATTCCCACTACGTTCTTGCGGTTCCCTGTTTGGGGTTCCCATTACCTTCCCTTCAGCAGAATTATCATGACGACCCACACATTTGCTAGTTCAACACCTTTCTGGAAAGGCCCTAGACACCATGTCCCACGCCCACCAGTTCGTCACACATCTGCGGACGTACCTGTTGAAAGCCGGCAGAGGGCGCGGAAGAGTAGTCCATAAAACTGGGTCACTGTTGCGGAACTTAAATTAAGCTACCAGAATGGGTATATCTAATAATTAGTATGCTTCCCCCATTATAGTAACTTAAAATATGTTCCTTAACAGCAACGCAGAAAAACAAGCTGACAAGGTTTCAGGTTTGCACTTGCACAGTGCAGAATTCTGGCGTGCTCGAAATTGCCGTCTGTGTGTTCCGAAACACGATATCATTAACCTTACGGGGGCCTGAATTCTTGTGTATAGGAACAGCTCATAGAACGTGGGTGCAGATATGTCTCAAGACGGCAGGAAAAAAGAAGACCGTGCATTACAAACCTCGATCCCTAGTTGTGCCGAGCTCCCTGGCCAAGAAATGCTAACCCATATCTATCTATCTTCAAATATGAAACCTCATGATTTACGGCTTGAGTAGGAGAAGCTACAGCTACAAGGCCCAGGCCCCTGACCAAAGCAATGACCAAGTCAAAAAGGAGTTGAAGTCCATGCTGGTTCACGACCGCCCCGTAATCCCTTTGTGGCTCCAGATCAGGACCCCCTTTTTGTGGCACATGCAGAACCCATGTTGGCGAATTCCAAAACAGAGCGCCCGGATATAGACCCCAAAATACTAGAGTGTAGTCCTGAATCTCGGGACTCCCAGATGCTGACCCCTATTTGTTTTAAAAACTCTTCTATATCGCCCGAGAATACTAATGACTGAACCCTACACCCTACATATCCCAGTAAGGGGGCCCAAGTTTTCTCTTGACGAGTCATGTCGTCGCCTCAGACAGCGAAACTGCATGTCGTCCATGATGATTCGGATGGGCCGCACGCAGATCTTCCACCTCATGCCACCCTTAATTACCCTAGACCCAATGAGCCCTAAACCCTTAAAGCCTTCTTGCATAAACCCTAAACCCCAAAACCCTTAAACCCTTTTTGCATAAACCCTAAACCCCTAAACCCTTTCATTTCTAGGGTTTGAGAGATCCAGGATGGGGGAAGTGTGCACATCCGCAGTTTAGGGTTTAGGGTTTAGGTGATGACCCAAAGTGCGAAGCTTCTGCATGATATGCCCCCTATAACTTACTACAGGGTTATAAGTATATTGGAGGACAATATCTATGGCAGTTATCAAAGAACCCCTGCAAACCCACTATACTACACCAGTTTCCACTTGTTCGCCCCTTGAGCTCTTGGACTTGGTGCTGGACCGCGCACCTCACTGTGGATATGGGGTTGCGTGCTGTGAACTTGTGAGATGGGCATCAAATTCACCCCAACCTCAACCACAAGCCCTACTCTAAACTTAACTCTACATGCCAAATCCTGTAACCCTTCTAGCTATAATCCCAAGCCCCCACAGCCGCAAACCCCTAAACCCTAAACCCTGAACCCCTGAACCCAAAAACCCTGACTGTCCCCCCCCCTAAACCCCTAAATCCCAGCCCAGCAACTCCCAGGAGTCTTTTGGCGAAGAGTCAGATCCAAACAGCTGGCTCTCAATATCCAGGCCTGCCCACTTTGTAATAGTTTAGGGGTTTGAGGGTTTTGTGTTTAGGGTTTAAGGGGTTTTGGGTTTGGGGTTCA